CCTCGACCTAAGTGTTCACATATTTTTGGCATTGGATATAAAAAACAGGTCCTTGCTCTACTTGGTTAAACACATAGATCTAACACTAAGCTGGGTGGGTATTTGCATAATGAGGCAGACTTACATTTGTTTTATACAGGAAAGCGTTATAATATTGTAGATGTGTCTGCTGCAGTATGTATGAGCCTTGGCCTTATATGGTTTACCCTAGCTGACAGCACAATTGCACCAAATTTCAACCTGACAGGTAAGCAATGTATCTTCTTAAATTTTATAGACATTTTAAGAATTTCTAAAATTTCATAAGTAATTTAAATGATGGTATGACATCCGTGATTCTTAAATCTATTAATAGCTTTCCATATAAGTAAAAATATCACAACTTGGGAGATGAAACAGTTTTTTTTTAGTATTCTTGCATTTTGAAATGATAGGAGGCTGTTTGCCAATTCAAAATTTTCTATAAGCTGATTGGAAATGTACACACAAGTTACAGAGGAATCACAGTAGAATTGTTTTTAGTCTCATTTGAAAAAATAACTTTGAAACTTATTACACTCTAATAGATCAGGGTAGGGATAAGGACCCATCGATTATTCTTAATGATGAAGTGCGGTTGGGTTCTAATTCTCTTGAAAAATATGTCCGTGGAACTCAAGAAGGGTTAGCACTTACGTTACAGTGAGATGTTACAGGACCACTGAGCCGCCTCTTTCCACACCATCACCACTCCCACTGCCATCACGTATACGGATTTCAATCCATCATTTATCATCTCATTCTGTCCTCCCACTGTCTTTGAGTGAGGCGAGTTATTATTATCTCTGCTTTATGGGTGAAACATAAAGGGGTGTGGCAATTTACACATAGTTATATTTTGTATTAATAACTAAAGGAGATGAGACTATTAAGATTGGTTATTTAAGGCAGACATAAATAAAACTTTAAAGGTATGAAGTACGTATATCAGAATTTACTTATTCAAATAAATATCCCCTTCAAAACATTCCCCTTAGGATGCAATTTAGGTATATTCTTGTTGCTGCCATTGTTCAGAACATTTTTGGAATATCTTTAAATAGCCTTTTAGTTGTTAGGGCATTCTTTTCAGGATCTTCAAAAACAGGATGTCTTCTTTTTTTTAAGGAAAAATTCTCTATTTGAAACAAGTAAAAGGAACATTCAGAATTAAGTTTGGTGAATAAAAATGTATGGTTAGGCAATAATACTAAAGTTACATGATAAATTGAAGAATAAGTATGAAAACTTGAATCTTCATTGACCGTGGTGCATACACATGTGTACATATACTTTTCTGCTACATATGATTGCTTATACATTAAAAAAAGGAAAGAAAACATTTCTATAAACCCATTAGATACACGTTTGTAGCTAAGACTGCTCTTTACTCTTTCCGTAAAGCACAGTGACCGATGACCATGCATCCTGAACACTTCCCGTTAATAGCCTGCTACTCATGTACGCATGCGCACTGTGTGCTTCCCAGGAATGAGTTATGTTGACTCCAAGATTTGTTTATGCCAGTTGTACCTCTTACTGTAATTAGGTAATAACAATATTACCCCTCAAACTGTTCAAAAATGAATATGAAAAGAGAAT